TGAGTTTGATAAGTTCTTTATAGATTTTGGATAGTAACGCTTTATCTGATATGTCATTTGCAAATATCTTCTCCCATTCTGTCAGTTGCCTTTTAGTTTTGCTGATAAAAGTTTCATTTTTTTTTTAAGTTTTAAATTCTAATCCTAGTGTAATTTACATACAGTTTTATATGGTGTACAATATAGTGATTCAACAATTCTATACATTACTCAGTGCTCATTATGGTAAGTGTACTCTTAATTCCCTTCACCTATTTCACCCATCTCCCCACCCACCACCCCTCTGGTAACCATCAGTTTGTCCTTTATAGCAAAGAGTGTTTCTTGGTTTGTCTTTCTCTTTTTAAAATTTCCTTTGCTTGTTTATTTCTTAAATTTCACATATGAGTGAAATAATATAATATTTGTATTTCTCTGACTTATGTCATTTGGCATTTATAGTCTCTGGATCCATTTTTGTCCTTGGAAAAGACAGGATTTCATTCTTTTTTATGGCTGAATAATATTCATATATATACACATTATATATATATGATGTGTATATATATGCTATATGTGTAAATGCCACATCTTTATCCATTCATCTATTGGTGGACACTTAGGCTGCTTCCATTTCTTGGCTATTGTAAATAATGCTGCTATCACTATCAACAATAGCCAAATTATACAAATACACACACACACACACACACACACACACACACACACAGACACCATGGAATATTACTCAGCAGTCAGAATGAAATTTTGCCATTTGCAACAATGTGGATGGAACTAGAATGTATTATGCAAAGCAAAATAGTCAGAGAAAGGCAAATATCATATGATTTCACTCATATGTGGAATTTAAGAAACAAAACAAACAGGGGAATGGAAGGAAAAATAAGATAAAAACAGAAAGGGAGTCAAACCGTAAGAGACTCTTAAATACAGAGAGCAAACTGAAGGTTGCTGATGGGGTGTTGGGTTGGGGGAATGGGCTAAATGGTTGATGGGCATTAAGGAGGGCACTTGTTGGCATAAGCACTGGGTGTTATATGTAAGTGATGAATCACTAAGTTCTACACCTGAAGAAACTAACTTGCGTTTGAACAAAACAAACAATAACACATTAAAAAAATAATACTGCTATAAACATAAGGGTGTATGTATCCCTTTGAATTAATGTTTTTGTACGTTGGAGATAAATACTCAGTAGTGTGATTACTGGATCCTAGGGTAGTTTTATTTTTAATGTTTTGAGGAACCTCCATACTATTTTCCACAGTGGCTGCACCAGTTTGCATTCCCGCCATTAGTGTAAGAAGTTTCCTTTTTCTCCACATCTCCCTAACACCTGCTGTTTCTTGTGTTGTTGATTTTAGCCATTCTGACAGGTGTGAGGTGGTATCTCATTGTAGTTTTGATTTACATTTCCCTGATGATGAGAGATGTTGAGCAAATTTTCCTGTGTCTGTTGGCCATCTGGATGTCTTCTTTGAAGAAATGTCTGTTTGTGACTTCTGCACATTTTTAAATTGGATTATTTGTTTTTTGGGTTGTTGAGTTGTATCAGTTCTTTACATATTTTGGATACTAATCCTTTATCGAGTATATCATTTGCAAATATCTTCTCCCATCCAGTAGGTTTACCTTTTAGTTTCATCGATTATGTCCTTCACTGTACAGAACCTTTTTATTTTGATGTCCCAATAGTTTATTTTTGCTTTTGTTTCCTTGCCCCAGGAGACATACCTAGTAAGAAGTTGCTAATGGCCAGTGTCAGAGAGATTACTGCTTATGCTCTCTTCAAAGATTTTTATGGTTTCCAGTCTCACGTTTAAGCTCTCAGTCCATTTTTAATTTATTTTTGTGTATGAAAGAAAGAGGCCCAGGTTCATTCTTTTGCACGTAGCTCTCCAGTGTTCCTAACACTATTTGTCAAAGAGACTGTCTTTTTCATGCATACTCTATCCTCCTTTGTTGAAGATTAATTGACCATATAATTGTGGCTTTTTTTCTGGGGTTTCTGTTCTGTTCTGTGGATCTATGTGTCCATTTTTGTGCCAGTACCATACTGTTTTAATTGCTGCAGCTTTGTGATATAACTTGGGAATTGAGATGCCTCCAGTTTTATTTTTCTTTTTGAAGATTGCTCGGGCTGTTCAGGGTCTTTTATGGTCCCATAGAAATTGTAAGATTGTTTGTTCTAGTTCTTTGAAAAATCCTGTTGCTATCTTAATAGGGATTGCCTTCTATGTGTAGATTGCTTTGAGTAGTATAGACATTTTCACAGTATTCTTCCAATCCATAAGCATGGAGTGTCTTTCCATTTCTTTGTGTGTCTTCAATTACTTTCATCAATATTTTATAGTTTTCACCTATACAAGTCTTCCACCTCTTTGGTTAAGTTTCTTCCTAAATATTTTATTATTTTTGGTGCAGTCGTAAATGGGGTTATTTAATTTTCTTTCTGCTGCTTCATAATTAGTGTAGAGAAATGAGACAGATTTCTGAACTTTGATTTTGTATCTTGTGACTACTGAATTCATTGATCCGTTCTAGCAGCTTTTTGGTGGAGTCTTTAGGATTTTCTATATATAGTGTCATGTCCTCTGCAAATAGAGTTTTACTTCTTCCTTACCAATTTGGATACCTTTTATTTCTTTTTGTTGTCTGATTGCTGTGGCTAGGACTTCCAGTACATAAAAGTGGTAAGAGTGAGGGGCACCTGGGTGGCTCAGTCAGTTAAGCATCCAACTCTTGGTTTCATCTCAGGTCACGATCTCACAGTTTATGAGATCAAGCCCGCATCTGGCTCTGTGCTGATGGGAGCCTGCTTGAGATTCTCTCTGTCCCCCCTCTCTCTACCTCTCTCTTTCTCAAAATAAATAAATATTTTTTTAAAAGTGGTGGGTGCCTGGGTGGCTCAGTTGATTGAGTGTCCAACTCTTGATTTCAGCTCAGGTTATGATCTCACAGTTTGTGAGTTCAAGCCTCACATCGGGCTCCATGCTGACAGTGCAGAGCCTGCTTGGGATTCTCTTTCTCCCTCTCTGTCGCCCCTCTCTCCCTTGCTGTCTTCCTCTCATTCTCTCTCAAAATAAATAAATAAACTTAAAAAAATAGTGGTAAGAGTGGATATTCTTGTTTTGTTCCTAACCTTTGAGGAAAAGCTCTCAGTTTTTCCCATTGATGTTCTCTGTGGATTTTTCATATAAGTTCTTGATTATGTTTTGGCATGTTCCCTCTAAACCTACTTTGTTGAAGGTTTCTCTCATGAATGGATATTGTACTTTGTCAAATGCTTTTTCTGCATCAGTTCAAATGACCATTTGGTTTTTATCCTTTCTCTTATTGATGTGATATATCACATTGACTGTGAATATTGAATCACCCTTGCATCCCAGGAATAAATCACACTTGATTGTGCTGAAGGATTTTTTTAAATGTATTGTTGGATTTGGTTTGCTAGTATTTTGTTGAGGATTTTTGCATCTATATTCATGAAGGATATTGGACTGTAGTTTTCTCTTTTTGTGGTGTCTTTATCTGATTTAGGATCAGGGTAATGCTGGGCCTCATAGAGTGAATTTGGAAGTTTTCCTTCCTCTTGTATTTTTTGGAATAGTTTGAGAAGAATTATTCTTTAAATGTTTGGTAGAATTCACCTGTGAAGCTGTCTGGTCCTGGACTTTTTGTTTCTTGGGAGTTTTTTTATTACTGATTCACTTTCATTGCTGGTAATCTTCCTAAATTCTTTAGAAGGATTCTTAGTTCATTGATTTTTAGCTTTTCTTCTTTTATAATATGTGCATTTAAGTTATAGATTTCCTCCTAAGTTTACCTGCTCAAAATATTTCCTTATATTTACTATGACTTATCTGACTCATGGGTAATAAGTTACTTTATATCCAACACATGGAGGATTTCTTTTTATGAGTTTTTGGCTTAATTGCATTGTGGTCCATATGATTTCAGTCCTTTGAATGTATTGAAACTTGCAGGGGCGCCTGGGTGGCTCAGTCGGTTGAACGTCTGACTTCGGCTCAGGTCACGATCTCGCACTCTGTGAGTTCGAGCCCTGCGTCGGGCTCTGGGCTGATGGCTCGGAGCCTGGAGCCTGCTTCCCGTTCTGTGTCTCCCTCTCTCTCTGCCCTGCCCCCGTTCATGCTCTGTCTCTCTCTGTCTCAAAAATAAATAAACCTTAAAAAAAAAAAAAGAAACTTGCGTCATGGCTTAGCATAAGGCCAATTTTTGTAGGTATTACAGATGTACTGGAAAGGAATATGTATTCTGTAATTATTGGGTGGTGGTAATCTTGTTAATCGTATCTATATTTTTATTCATTTTTGGGTCTTTTTGTTATATCAGTAATTTAGAGTCATGTTACAATCTTTTGCTACAATTTTGGATTTGTCTTCCTTTTCCATGAAGTACTAACAACTTTTTTTATTGTTTATTTATTTATCTTAGCACAAGCAAGGGAGGGTAGAGAGAGAGAGAGAGGGAGACAGAGAATCTGAAGCAGGCTCTGAGCTTTCAGCACAGAGCTGGCCGGAGGGCTTGAACTCACAAACTGTGAGATCAGACGCTTAACCAACTGAGCCATCCCGGCTCCCCAGTACTAACAATTTTTGCATTATACATATTGAAGCTGTGTTATTAAGTACATAGAAATGATGACTGTTACATCATTCTGGTGAATTGACTTTTTTAATATTTTTTACCTCTTCCAGTGGCTTTTGCCTTAAAGTCTACTTAGGTATTCACATAGCTCTACCAGCTTTCTTTTGATTAACATTACCTGGTGTCTCTTTTCCACCTTATTTTTAATCTTCGTGGGTCTATTTTAGTTGTGTTTCTTGGAAGCAGCAAGTTAGATAATTTTACAATCCCCTGACATATTGTAATCTTTTAATTGGATTACTTAGTTCATTTCTGAATTTAACATAATTCCTTTCATATTGTGGTTCTAATCCCACCATTGTGGTTTTTACTTATCCTAACTGCTCTGCATTCCTTTTTCTCTCCTTATCTTCTTTTGGATTAATTGTGTTTTTTAAATTTTTCTATTTTTACTTCATTAGCTTAGGTGTTGTACTTTTACTCTTTCAGTTATTGGTGGTTACCCTAGAGAGTGTACCATGCACTCTTGATTTAATAAAGTCTAATATTATTGGTATTTTCACCCTTTCCCAGACAGTGTAAAAACTCCATATCACACCCCCTGCCTCACCTTCTATGCCATTGGCATATATTTTAATTATCTGAATATATGAATTTTTGATAAGGTTGCTTTCTTATAGCTTAGCATGAGCACTGTAAAACTTTAGGTTTTTTTTCCCTATTTAACACTGTAGTATGTGTGAAGTATTAAGATGAATGACAGTTTCTTGTTTACATAATTTTGTGCTGATAAAACAGAGATTGATGTTAGAGCTTTCTGGATTGGGTATAGTTGACAAAGTTTCTCTAGAGGATACATAGAAAGCTAACACACACACGCACACACACTCCTGACACAATTTGTTCAGCCTTTGCTTTCCAGTTCTTTTTCCCCCCAGGACTACCAGCTACCTATCTTTTATCTCTTTGTGCTTTAGGCTTTCTTTTGCCCTGAGTAAAGGCTTTCACTTCACTGCACCTGTTACCAGTTAGTCTCCTTTGCAGCCACCTCTGCCATTTGTAGTTCTTTCTCCCCTTTTCAACTTTCTTCTTTCCTGTTACTGCTTGGATTTCACTCAGGAAGGCCAAACATTTACAGAGATCAGCTAATCAGAATGCTTCAGGTTGGCAAACCAACCAATCAAAATGTATGGGGCATTTACTTTGAGTATTTAATTCTTCAGTCTCTCTTTGTCACTGCTTACTATTCAAAAGTTTTTATCACTCGGAACCGTCTGGTGAACACCAGAAGGCTAGTCTGTGGAGCAGTGAGGTTTTATGGTTCTGTTAAGGTAGTCATGAGTTCGGGCAATGTACAATTTATTTTTAACCATTACACACTTACTGGGGTTCTCTATTTTAAAAATGTTCATTTCTCTTTTACAAAGAATGAAAAAATAATAGAACAACAACTTCTTGTGGATCAACTGAGTGAAGAACTAGCAAGACTTAATCTGTCAATGACATCTTCAGCTACGGAAACTTGTGGAGACGGGCCAGACACCAGGACACCTGGAAAGAGGCCATGTACCGTACCGTTTGATACTCGTTTGGGGCATTATATTTATATCCCAGCCAGATCAGATTCCAGGAAGGTAATGTCTAAACATTGATTTCTTTCTGGTTTTGGTTTTGATATGTAAAAAATATGTATAATATCACAGGATATTTGTACAGTCTCAGCACCTTCTCTTTTTCTGTTTGGTTTCATGGACTTTTATGTATATTCTTGCTTTCAGTCATGCTTATTTTTAACAAAAAATGAATAAATAGGAGAATATATAGTTTTATTTGGAAGGAATAGTTGAAGGTGATGTCTGTATTCACCAAGGAGAAAAAGCTATCCTTTGTCATCATATTTTCAGATGCCATCATATTTTCATATTTTCATGTTTTAGTCTGATATCTTCATTAGTTTTTTTTCTGTCTTTAACCACACCAAGTTGAGATGAGATTGGAGGGTGCTTAGTTTGATTTATTTGGTCTGTTTTATTATTTTCAAAATGATATTTATCTATTATCCGGTCTTGCCAAGCTGACATAATCAAGACTGTGTGGAGATCAGTATGAAGTTTCATTTTAATTTTTACTTATAAATATGTGTGTGGGTGGTAAATCTATGTACACAGATTTCTCATGAAAAATCAAGGAATCTCTACTGGAATGGAAATCTCTAGTGGAGAAGACTAAGTAGCAGATTCATGAATTTTGGTGTCTATTTATTTTATGACTGGAAAGGATCTGAAGGCCATGTGATGGTTACCATTAAAGGGGTAAGAAATATGGGAAGCGTCATAGGCTTTGTAACCAGGTAGGCTTGGGTGTGAACACAAGCTCTTTGTATAGACCTGTACGTGTGCCTAAACCCATGTGGGCCCCCGGTTCCTTATCTGTCAGACTGGGGGAAACGTGGGTGTGTGTGGAGGATTTACATAAGATAGTGATGCTAAAACTGCCTGGTACACTGTGTCTTCAACACACGCCTATGGGGTGCGTTTACTGTGTCCCAGACTCCATGCTTCAGAGTAAGACAGGTGCTATCCTTACCTGTGTGGTTTTTAGCTCTGAGTGGTTGAGTTTTAAAATTTAAATGACTGTTCTTATTAATTTCAGTTTTCCTTTGTAGAGTTATTGACATTTTCTTTTTTAAAAATTTTTTTTAACATTTATTCAGTTTTGAGAGACAGAGAGCACGAGCGGGGGAGGGGCAGAGAGAGAGGGGAGACAGAACCTGAAGCAGGCTCCAGGCTCTGAGCTGTCAGCACAGAGCCTGACGCGGGGCTTGAAGTTATGAACTGTGAGACCATGACCTGAGTTGAAGTCAGCCGCTTAACCGACTGAGCCACCCGGGTGCCCCTGAGTTATTGATATTTTCTTTATGGGTGAATACACAGTAAATTTTCATAGAACATATGGGATGAAAGGTAAATGTTTGCAGGATTCAAATTTGATAACTATGATTTCAACTTAATAATTATATATCGTCTTCTGTATTTAAGTGATTTATTTATTAACTCTTGGCTAGTAATGTGGATAAATTTTCTGTTTATTCTTTTATTTTTTATTTAAAAAATTTTTTTTAATGTTTATTTACTTTTGAGAGACAGAGACAGAGCATGAGTGGGGAAGGGCAGAGAGAGAGAGGGAGACACAGAATCCGAAGCAGGCTCCATCCAGGCTCTTAGCTGTCTGTCAGCACAGAGCCTGATGCGGGACTTGAACTCACAAACCGTGAGGTCATGACCTGAGCTGAAGTCAGACGCTTAACCAACTGAGTCACTCACGCGCCCCTCTTTTATTTTTTTTAAAGAACATTTGTTTTCCCCTGATTACAAAAGTTGTACATATTTATTCCCTCTCTGTCTCTCTTTCTTCTTTTTACTAGACATTCACACACACATACACTCTGTGAGGAGATAGAGCTCTGTGGGCTCTTGAGAAAAGTTAGACCTTTGTTCTTATTTCTAGTTGTTTGCATAGGCCTGAAACAGGCATGAGTGGAATAACGACTTCCGTGGTTATTGTTTCAAATTATCAAGTTATGAGTTTTGTTTTGTTTTTACAATTTTCCTTCTACCCCAAAAGATCTCTGCTAGCCATTAAAAGGAGGGGAAAAGAAAGAAGATGCAAAAGTCATATGATCAGCAGTTTTAAGAACTCTTGTTCCTACCATGTGTCCAAGAATCTAGGCCCCTTTTCTTGTTTGGGCTGGTTACTGCAGCAGACATGAGAAGGCAGGCTTGCGTGGGAAGACACATGGCATGCCAAGCCTTGTTGGTGTCCTGCTTGTTCTAAAAGTGAGGGGAAGTTTTCATATTGAGTACCGAAATGAACTAAATTACTCCCAAGAGGACATCTGAAATACCATTTCATTTTCTCCTGGATTTCTATCTCCTTGGCAGAAATCTAGCTAATATTTTCTTTTTCTTTTTTGTTTTTGAGTTTATTTATTTATTTTGAGAGAGAGAGAGAGAGAGAGAGAATATGAGTGGGGGGGGGGGGCAAAGAGAGAGGGGTAGGGAGAGAATCCCAAGCAGGCTGTCAGCACAGAGCCTGATGTGGGGCTCAAAGCCATGAACCATGAGATCTTGACCTAAGCCTAAATCAAGAGTCCAGCTCAACTGACTAAGACACCCAGGCACCTTAAAAATATTTCTTAAATGCTTGTGTATACATATTGGAGGGAAAAGAGCAAAAAGATCTTATTTATTTTAAATGCATTATTTGTTATATTATGTGTATACTCATATACTTTCATTACTGGCTTTTCTCACTTAATATATCATGAACATTTGAGAGTTATTAAATATTCTTTTATAACATATCATGATTTTTAATGGCTGAATAATATTTACCTTAACTATATATTAATATATTGAGATATATTATCTTAAATGTTTATTTAATATATTTTATTATATTAAATATTTAATATAATATTTTAAATAATATTTATCTTGTGTACTTTTTCCTATTATTGCACATTTGTTTTCAACTAGTTCTTAATCTGAAAAGTTAAACACCAAAATGGAATTATAGAACATATCTACTTATGCAGAATTCCTAAAGAAATTGCCCCTCACAACTAAGTAGTGTATAGGTAAATGAAAGAAAAAGTTTTAGTATTATTTATCAAACTAATAGGAAAAAAGAGAAAAAACTCCTTTGTCTGAATAGATACCAAAGCTCATCAAATGAAATGTAAAGTTGAATCTTGATTTAAATCTAAAGAAAAAATATAACAGAGGTGTCTACTTTCTTACCATGGTAAATACGATATACTTGAGGCCAAGAGCCAGTATTATACCCACTCAGAGGGCACTTTGGAGAGAAAAAAAATTAGAGGGGTCAGTCAATGCTTAGGTATAATACAATATCACAAATACTGATGAAAATCTGCCATGTTTCATTGATAGTAAGACTCACGTTGTTTTCACATTTTATCATCTTCGATGCCAGGGTATGTTTTATAATTGATGGCATGTCATAGTTTGACAGCTTTTTTTCTTTTTTGATGGGATAAAAATAATGGTGTCTCTTACAGTTGATGGCATTTTAGATTCGATGAAATCTGATATGGAGTGGAAATAAAAGCAATAGGTAACGAATACCACTTTTAGTACTTCATACAATTGTATGCTAAGAAAACCGACCAAGTATTCTTAAGGGATATATTTAAAAAATCTGGACTCTCCAGGACCAGGGAGAAGTGCTAAGGGAATACTTCACTTAAAACTGCCAAAGATGTGGGGCACCAGGGTGGCTCAGTTGGTTAAGGGTCCTACTTCAGCTCAGGTCATGACCTCAGTTCGTGGGTTCAAGCCCCACGTTGAGCTCTGTGCTGACAGCTCAGAGCCTGGAGCCTGCTTCGGATTTTGTGCCCCTCCCTCACTCATGCTCTGTCTCTCTGTCTCTCAAAAATAAATAAATGTTTAAAAAAAAAAAAGAAACTGCCAAAGATGATTCCAGAGGCCCCAGGGCCCCGGCAGCCAATGCTTCAGCAGAGGTCATGTTATAAATAAGAGCCAAATATGGGTAGAATAGTTGAACTCAGTAAGCTTTAAAATTCTCTCTAGCTTTATGGCTATATAATTCTAGGGAAGAAAATGGTTAGAATAAAATGTTGGCTTCTAGTGTATACACCTCAGTTAATCTGAATTATTAATCAGCTTATTTGAGTACTTACATTAGTGATTAGTACTGTTTGGGGTGTGGTTGAAAATGCTAAAGCGGGGAGCTATGGAATGCAGAAGTAACTAAAGGGAAGCAGGACTCAGTACTTAGGTGAGAAGGTGCCAGGTTTTATTGCATTGGGTGGAATGACTGTTAAGGAATTAATTTACTAAATATTACTGATTATTGTAGAATATATTTGGTATTCATTATTAGGCTGGCTCCTTTGGGGTTTTTTGTAGAAAAAAATTTTAAAAGCAGATTACAATTCTAGAGAACAATGTTTGACTTTGAACAGAAAGTATTATTTGCTCCTGAAATAATTCGCATTCCTCTGATGAAGAGAAACCTTGATGCCTGTTTGTTTTGGGGCAAAATGGACATGCGGGGTAATTGTGCTTGTTAGAGAAAAACTTACTGAGTTGGTTCTTCTGTAAATAATTCCCCTCCCCCCTCCCTCAAACCCCAGGATTGGGAGTCCACCTAGAAAACTTTACTCTGTGTCCATCATGGTACCAATGTGACCTTATTAGGTGGCCAACAACAGAGGCACAGGTATCAAGGAATCTTCCATATCAGGCGGGCTTTTCTGGGAGGGATTATGTGAGGGACCTCCATCATTTGAATCTTGATACTCTGTGATATACACATTCCACTATATGTCATAATTTTAATAGCTTCTAATGAAATCTGTTCATAAATGGAATGTTTCCTCTAATATTTTATTATCTGCCTTTTTTGAGAAATTACTCTGAGGTTTGGTTACAGAGAGGTGGTGAAAAAGGAAATACTTGTAACAAAAACCAGAAGAAGAATATAAAGGCAATTTCTATTTTCTGTTGTTGTTTTCCAAGGTCATTTTTTGAGAGCTGAAGGCGCATTGCCAGTAGAAGCATGTTATCATATGAAAAGCTCCCAGGCTAGCCCATGAAAATCTATTTATTCATGATACATATTAACTATGTCACTTAGAGCATTAAGTCAGCTATCCCTAACCGCCACCTGTAAAGTGTGAATACATGCATTTGGATTTCCTCCAGTGTAGTACAAATAGGTCATTGCCTCCTATCACACTGTGTCTGGGTTTCACTTTTGTTGGGAAGTACCCGTGCGATGCTTAAGAGCAGTGATGTTTTCACTCGTGCCTCTCTTTGGTTTCATTTTTGAATACTGTTTTCCATGAAGGTATAATTGAAGATAGCTTTCTAGAAGGAGGAAGAGCTGTGTAGGTTCTGAAGGAAGTATGCATCTATGGGGTAAAACAGCATGGTGAAATTTACTTTGACTTTTTTTGGGAGAATGGATATTTTCGGTGATTGGCTGTTTCCATGTAACTATCTAATAACCTCTTTAAAAATACTTTGAGCAATAGGATAAAAATAAACATAAAAAAATCACTTTTTTCTGTTGTTGGGTGGGGTAATCACTTGTAAGGTCTACACAAGTCCTTCTGTGTACTCTCTGGATCGAGTAGTTGCCGGATTTCGAACACGAAGTCAGATGCTGCTGGGTCATATAGAAGAACAAGATGAAGTCCTCCACTGCCAATTTTCTGATGACAGTGATGATGAAGAATCAGAAGGCCAAGAGAAATCTGAAATTAGGTATGTTAAATATAGACTGATTTCATAAGCATAATATATGGTGCAATAAATATAGATAGATATAGGGGTTTTATTCATTAACATGTATCTTTACCATTTAATATAAGTTTTGCCTAAAGCACTGTCTACTGTGTCTAATGTGTTATGAAACCAGCATTTGAACACAAGTCATCAGTCTTAAAATTGAAAATATTTTTGCATTTAGGGCTTTTATAGCTTGTTGGATTTTAATTTTCAGAGAGAATGTGTTTGGATTTCCTGATTTTGCTGCCACAGTGGCAACAAACATGAATTTTCCCCTGAGTTCAGCCTGAGGGAGATATCCTTTTATTTTGAGGAATATTAGAAAAATCTGTTTATGTAATTAATAATTTTTTAACATTGTGGTCAGTTGTGGGGAAACTAATTTGAGGGCATATTAGAAAACACTAACAGACAAGTTACCTTTGATCCTGATTTTTTTGTTTTTAGACGTAGAAGTCGCTCGTGGATTCAGAAGCGAAGTTCTGTTTGTTCTCTTGTTGAATTGAATGATATTCAGGATCAAACACAAAAGTCAAGTTTGGGGAATGAAGGTACACAGACTTTCTCAAGTAATTTAGATCTAATGTTTATGACACTTTTCTTTTTCTTTAGTCAATAATTTAATTCTCAAAGATGGGAACTTGATAGGAAAACTTCCTTTTTGTTCTCTGTTCTCCCTCCAAGTTTTTACTTGCTACTCCTTAATTAAAAAAAAAAAAAAAAAAAAAAAAAAAAAAAAAAAAAAAAAAAAAAAAAAAAAAAAAATGTCCCCAGTTAATTCTGGCTAGAGTTCTAGGATAAATGTCTCAGAATGGGGATTTTTGTACCCAAACTTGAGTTGATATTCACATTGTTCATTGATGACAGTAAAATACATTAAAAATTTTTTAAAATAATTTATTTAGGGTTATTTATTTATTTTGAGAAAGAGTGTGTGTGAGCAGGGGAGGGGCAGAGAGAGAGGGAGAGAGAGAATCTCAAGGAGGTTCTGCATTGTCAGCACAGTGCCCGATTCAGGGCTTGAACTCAAGGACCACAAGATCATGACCTGAGCCGAAGTCGGACACTTATCTGACTGAGCCACCCAGGTGCCCCTAAAATACATTTTAAATAATGTACCAGGTATCTGCTGCTTCCCTGGCACACCTGCCTTCCAGTAGTGATATATGTGACTTTAGAGCCAACTTAGTCTGCTGAGTGCTCATAATGTTGTACTACACAGCTGATGAGAATTTGTGTGCATCAAATAAGCATAAAAAATGTTTGTGTTGCCAAAACTATGTTGTAGTAGGAGATTTTTAACTCATTTCTCTTGGCCTATGAGTGGTCAGACACACACACACAGAAAAGAGCATAGCAAATATAAATAACACAATAGATATGTCCAATATGAAAATAGAGAGCATTTTATCTTTTAAGGAGCCTATGCCTGTTCTATTAACAAAGCATTGACTTTATGTCACAAATAAAACTGAAATAAATTTAAAAATGTATAAATAGGGGCGCCTGGGTGGCTCAGTCGGTTGAGCGTCTGACTTCGGCTCAGGTCATGATCTCACGGTCCGTGAGTTCGAGCCCCGCATCGGGCTCTGTGCTGACTGCTCGGAGCCTGGAGCCTGTTTCAGATTCTGTGTCTCCCTCTCTCTCTGACCCTCCCCCGTTCATGCTCTGTCTCTCTCTGTCTCAAAAATAAATAAACGTTAAAAAAAAAATGTATAAATAGTATAGAGAAGTGCTACTCAAGTAGCCATCCTTGAGCTGTTTGTTACGGGTCTACAGCCAGGTAAGAAACTCACGCCGGAATGTAAATCAGTGCACTAGCTTCTTCACTGAGGGAGTCTTGCTGTGGGGGAAAAAAGTCCGCTGAATTAAAACAGTGACATAGTTGACTTACGTTCCAGTAACCAACAGTGCTGGACTACACTTTGGGTAGCGTGGTGCAGACAGACCACATTCTCTGATGACCATTAAAGTAGAAGTTAGTGGGAAAAAATTTCAACTCTCTGCCCACCTGGATATTTTATATCTTTCTTAAATAACTCAGGTTAAAGGAAAACTCAAATCACATACCTAAGGACAATGATGACCTATGTATCAGAACCTACAGGATGTGACTAAAACTTGCTGTCAGCTAGAAAATGAAAGTCCCAATTGCCATGTATTTTTTCCTTTCTTTCTTTCCCTTTATGTTTGTCTCTTCCTCTGCTACCTCTAGACTGCTTCTTTCTGCTTTTATTTAACTCCACTTCTGGGGAAAATTCTATGGGCAGGAAGTTTTATTTCTCAGTTTTGCTTTTTCTTTAAAGATTTAAAGATTGAATGTCTCCAGGAGAGTCAAGAGTTGAATTTGCAAAAATTAAGGAATTCAGAACTCATACTTACTGAAGCCAAACAGAAAATGAGAGAACTTACAATTAACATCAAGATGAAGGAAGATCTAATTAAAGAATTAATAAAAACAGGTAATAATGTCCTGTGAACCAGCTTATATAAGAAAAGCGTCTAAAATTGCTTTTTTTTTTTTTTAATTTTTAACGTTTATTTATTTTTGAGACAGAGACAGAGCATGAACGGGGGAGGGTCAGAGAGAGAGGAAGACACAGAATCTGAAGCAGGCTCCAGGCTCTGAGCTGTCAGCACACAGCCCAACGCGGGGCTCGAACTCACGGACCGCGAGATCATGACCTGAGCCGAAGTCGGATGCTTAGCCGACTGAGCCACCCAGGCGCCCCTAAAATTGCTTCTGATGTTGCAACATTTACTTTAGTTTTTGACACTGAGGACTATCCACTGTAGCTTAGAATTTGGTATAACAAGGTGTGTTTCATAGCCAGTAGGTGGAGGTTAGTTACCAGAAGAACGTGGTTACATTGGGATTTCATCTGCGAATTGAGAGAATTCTGTGGACTTTGTATCGTGTTGCAAGTCTATGGGCATTTAATGTTTTTTGCCACTTTTTAAGAAACATTATACTAGGTACCTGGGAATATGTCTAAGATGTTTTCTAACCCACTTTAATACTTATTTTAAATTATTAGTCCTCATTCTCTTGGATAGTTCATTTTTAACGTTATTTATAAACTTTATATTAAAAAAAATTTTTTTAACTTTTATTTCTGAGAGACAGAGGCAAAACACGAGCAGGGGAGGGGCGGAGAGAGCGAGGTACAGAATCTGAAGCAGGCTCCAAGCTCTGAGCTTTCAGCACAGAGCCCGACATGGGGCCCACAAACCATGAGATAGATCATGACCTGAACCGAAGTCGGACGCTTAACCAACTGAGCCACCCAGGCACCCCTAAACTTTATATTTTAAATGTAGATAATTTTTATTTCTCTCAAGATGTAAGGATGTATTCTTGAGAGCTATTCTCTCAGTGAGCTAAGCTTTTAGCTCTTCCCCTTAGTCTCAGATTCTGCCTGGTTGGGCATATGTCCCACATCCTCCCCTCACCCTTAGCTACGTTATCAGGCTTGCCTTGGAAAGCACATCTCAGGCTTCCCCCCCCCAATAGACTCAAAGTGTGAGCTTTGACTGCTTTGAAATTCAGTAAGGAATTGAAGGGATAAGAGTTTTTTCTCAGTTCCAATGAACATTGGTCCCATTTAAAGGAACTGAAGGAAATATCATCTTCCTTTTCCTTAAGCCAAGGCGGTAATTACCCTCAGATTACATGAATTATGGTGGCTCCTAGGGCAACTTGCCTTCCCACTTCCCTCCTCTTTCTGATGAGCTTGTTTTCTGTCTGGCTGGCGTCTCTCATCCTCCACTCCATAACTGCTGTGCCAAAGTGTTTTCCTTCCTCAGTCCTAGTGACGAATGTGCTATATACCGTTCCAGGCCTAGGTGTCCCAGATGGATTTTTTGTTTTTTTATTTTTTATTTTGTTTAATGTTTGTTTATTTTCAAGAGAGAGAGAGAGTGAGTGAGCAGGGGAGGGGCAGAGAGAGAGGGAGACACAGAATCCAAAACAGGATCCAGGCTCTGAGCTGTCAGCACAGAGCCCGACGCGGGGCTTGAACTCAGGAACAGCAAGATGATGACCTGAGCCGAAATCTGACGCTTAATCGACTGAGCCACCCGGATGGGGTCCCAGATGTTTAATTGAGCTTGACTATGTTCCTTCCTCATAGGCAGGATCGATGCCAGTACATCTCTCATAGGAATGTCTAGGAGCTGATTTAGGATTAAAAAAATTTTTTTTTCATGTTTGTTTATTTTTGAGAGAGAGAGAAAGAGAGAGCATGAGCAGGAGAGAGAGAGAGACACAGAATCTGAAGCAGGCTGCAGACTCTGAGCTATCAGCACAGAGCCCCACGCGGGGCTCAAACTCACAAACCATGAGATCCTGACCTGAGCCGAAGTCAGACACTCAACCCACTGAGCCTCCCAGGCGCCCCTGATTTAGGGGTTTAAATAGCTTCTCCATCAGGGTACTGCCTGTGAAAGTTAAGGATATGTACCTTCTGGAATAAATGATTTTTAGATAGGTCACACCATCATGAGATCTCTCACTAAACGAGCACGCTCTTGTAGCCCAGTATGTTCATCCTGGTTGCCTCAAAATAGAGGCTACATGAATGTACACAGAGAAGGTCCTCTTCTTACTTATGAGAACCAAGGGCAGTTTGGAGCTGTCCTTAGGGATGGTGACGAGAAAAAGGGTCAACGTGTGCTTGCTTTTCAAATCCTCCTCACCGAAGACTTCCCCCCAGTAGCAACTATTTCAGCCAACAATAAGTGACAACTATACTGTATTTCATCAATTCTAATCACATCCTTTCACATTTGAATGTCTCTGAAATCAGGATGCACCGTTACCATCAGTGGCATCCTGGCATTTTACCATGTAACTGGTATAATGGGCACTGTACCTTTTTTCTCGGTGACTCATAAAATATTGGTGTGTTGAGCAATATATGGGGTCTTTAATTAAAATATAGTAGTCATATGCATTTTAATGTTAGTCAAATAATCAGAGAGTTATAGAGACAGAAGAAAACTCGTAGTGCATTTAGTTCAGTAACTCCTTTTTACTAATAAAAATTAGAGATTTTCAGTGTAGCAGAACAAACTGGCCCTGATAATTATTCATCCCATGAGCTTTGGACTCAGTTTTCCATTGCCATGGGTTTGCTAGTCTAGTTCAAGGATAAGTTGACTACTCAGAACAGATTAAAACCAAATTTTTAGGGCCTAGTAGCTTAGAATGAAGAGAGATACAGAAATATCTATATTCTTTTTCCTCTCTGTTCCAAGTATAAGAAAAGCATTGAAGAAGAATTCATCTTTAACAAGTTTAGTTGAGTGGAAAAGGAGGGGGCCAGCTCTAGAATGAAAGTTTCATAACAGACATAACAATCAAATGTATTGTGGGCCTTTTTGGATGGCGATTAAAATAAACCACTTGTAAAAGACATTTTGAGACAATTATGGAAGTCTGAATAGATTCAGGTTGGGATTAATATTGTTAGGTGTGAAAGAAGTTTTGGCTATGTCCGTGTTTGATGTAGATGCATTGAAGTATGTATAGGTAAGATGACTTTTTTTTTTTTAATGTTTACTTTTGAGAGAGGCAGAGCATGTGTGGGGGAGGGGCAGAGAGAGAGGGAGACACAGAATCTGAAGCAGACTCCAGGCCCTGAGCTGTCAGCACAGAACCCAATGTGTGGGGCTCAAACCCACGAACCATGAGATCATGACCTGAGCCACCGAGGCGCCCCTGGCTTTTTTTTTAGAGAGAGAGCATGTGTATGAGTGGAAGAGGGGCAGTGAGAGAGGACAGAGGATCCAAAGTGGGCACAGTGCTGATAGCAGCGAGCCCGATGTGGAGCTTGAACTCATGAACCATGAGATCATGACTTGAGCCGAGGTTGGACGTTTAACTGACTGAGCCACCTAGGCGCCCCTGCTTTATAATTCTTAAGCAAATAGAAACAGAAGAAAGACATAGATAAAGCAACTATGGCAAAATCTTAATAACTCTTGAATCTCAGTGATGGGGGGTTCATCATTCATCATATTAGTTTTCTACTTTTGATATGTTGGGAATTTCTCATACTAGGAAAAAAAAGATTTAAAGGTAGCAAGAAACCAAAGTGTAGTTAGCAAAAAGCCAGAGTCACCCCAAATATTTTCTTACCTGGAGTTTGATGCCCGCAAAGCTACACTGCAAATTCAGAACATCAGAAATGTCACACACACACAAAGATGAACCTGTGACGGAATGGCACCAGACAGGAACAGCCATTGAGCAACTAATTATTAAGAGGCCAGGTGGCAAGTTGTGTTTGATGGAGATGGGTGGGGACAGCTGGATACGTAATGCTCTGCCTTAAATAGATATACTGCCCAGCAGGATTTTGAAGAATAGAGCATTTTAAAGATTTTGCTATTTTACTTGGCTGTTTTTTTTTTTTTAACATGCTTTCTAATTGTTATCACTGTGGTGAAGGTAACCATGCCAAGTCTGTAAGCAAACAGTATTCTCTGAAAGTAACAAAACTTGAGCACGAAGCAGAACAGGCAAAAGTGGAATTAACTGAAACAGAGAAGCAGCTGCAGGAACTAGAAAACAAAGATCTTTCTGATATCGCCCTGAAGGTAAAATTACAGAAGGAGTTCCGCAAAAAGATGGACGCCGCAAAGCTAAGAGTCCAGGTAATTTAAAAAACGTGATTGAGCAAACTTCCTTAGGGGTTTACTGCTTGTGTACCTGGTTAGGAAAGAAGTAGGATTCAATTTTTCCTAGCAGGAGCAACTGGATGGCAGCTTTTCTTTTCCGATATGCTGGCAGATTTGCCTGCTTTCTATCTGGGTACTACACCCTTTGTTTGAAAGGTGTATTATTTTAAACTTTTTGTCAAAAACCATGGTAAGAAATAAAGATAACCACAGAAGTTGTGTTCTTCTCTGAAGGATAAAAGATTGATGATTAAGGAATATATATAAAACATCTGGGATGTATATGGCATTTTGTAGACATGCCACAAATGCTAATTATTTCAGATAGTTTTCTGAAACCATAACTGATTGCTTTACGAAAGGTTAGTAATTGACTCCTACATCTCATCCTTGATTTCCTAATGCCGGATTTAGCTATTGCCTCAGAAGTGGCTACCGTTAAAAGTTGTATTCTATGAGAAATATTCCATTACAGAAAGATTTTGTGTATAATGAAGCCGTCTTCAGATGCTTTTGGGATGACCAGAGTGCTTTGTTAGTGTGATTATAATGAATCTGCTAGAATGTTGTCTCCATTTTTTTTTCATTCATAATCTATTTACTTTAATGTTTCCACTGTAGGTAGAATGGAATTGTCATTCACCTATTCAGAGCATTATTTATTTATTTTTGAAACTGTGCCACAATTGTTCTCTCAACAAGGGCCGTGTTCATTGCATATGAACAGACCAAAAACCAAATCCCTCCTCCTAGGGTTTTATGGTTTTTAAAAAAATTTTTGGTTTTGTTTTGAGAGAGAGAGCGTGAGCGGGGGAGAGGGGCAGAGGGAGAGAGAAAGAGAGAATTTTAGGCAGGCTCCACACTTAGTGCAGAGCCTGACACAGGGGCTTGGTCCTATGACTCTGGGATGATGACCTGAGCTGAAATCAAGAGTCTGCCACTCAACTGACTGAGCCCCCTAGGAACCCCCCTTCTAGGGTTTTTAATGCCACCTGCAACATCTGGCCATCCCCACTAAAATGTTTAGCTAAGTAGCCTCTCAACACAAAGTTAAAATAGTATGACTTAACGTGTGAACTACTTAGAGGAGGGCTACTTTCCTTCACCGTGCTTGTTTTCAGAATACATATTTCCATTTAGCAGTTCACCTCAGAGAGTCTTGGGATCTGTTCTTTTTCAGTTCTTGACCCTTAAAGTTAAGGCTGCGATGTCTAACAAAATACTCCTTTTAACAAAATATTAGTAGAACAAAACAGTTAAGATTTTTCCTTTGTGTTTATTATGAAATTTTACTTACAATTTCATAGTTTTATATCCAAGCTTCAGTTCTGACTGTAATTCTTATACTCAATAATAGCCAGAATGATTGGTTTCAAAAGGAGTAATTTATCATATACATGTATGGTTTAAGCCTTGTTTGTGGATTTAGCAAAGATTATATGTTCAGTTTCACACAGCTAAATTGATTGAATTAAAAGATTAAGTGAAAGGTTAGAGAGTGCAAGTAGGGGAGAAGAGAAGGGAATGGGGGGGGGGGGAGAGAGAGAGAGAGACAGAATCCCAAGCAGGCTCTGCGTTGTCAGCACAGAGCCTGATTCAGGGCTCAATTCCACAAACCATGAGATCATGACCTGAGCCGAAATCAAGAGCACTTAACCGACTGAGCCACTCAGATGCCTCTAAGTGAAAGGCTATTAATAGGGTTTGCGAATTATCATGTTTTTTGTTTTCCGTGTTTCTTGTTGCATATTCTTTTCTGCTAAGAGGACTGATAAGGAAAGGAAAGAAGACACAGAACACAGTTAAGCTCAAAAGAAATATCCCATATAGCCGAGGACTGAAACGGGATTCCCATGTAGTTTTAGAAATGTCTGGGCTTTTGACCTATTCATGTACACCCATTGGGGATGGGGACGATAAAGATGATGAGGATGGTGGTGGGGATGGGAGGAGGATGATAGTTACCAGCTTCTAAGTGTCTACATACCAGATGTTTCACAAGTATTATTTAATCATTATTTAACCCTTTAGAATGAATATTTTTACCCTGTTTTACAAATGAGGAAACTAAGTTGTAAAAAGGTAGAATAGCTCAAGAATCTATTGTGGAGGTGACAGTAACAGTTTTCAGTATGCTAACATCTCATGCCATTTTTATTTAATTAATTATTATTATTTTTAATGTTTATTTATTTTGAGAGAGAGAAAGAGCACAGGCAGGGGAGGAGCAGAGTGAGAGGGAAAGAGAGAATCCCAAGCAGGCTCCCTGCTGTCAGAGTAGAGCCCAATGTGGGGCTCGATCTCACGAACCATGAGACCGTGACCTCAACCAAAATCAAAAGTCAGATGCTTAACCAACGGCCACCCAAGCACCCCTCATACCATTTTTAAATGTTGAAATACTAGTGTTTTTATTAGTATTATAAAGTTATTTCAGTTTTTAAAACTTAAATTGTTTTAATTTAAAAAATCTAAAATCTGTTTTTTTTTTTAATTTTTATTTATTTATTTTGAGAGAAAGAGAGGGGCAGAGAGAGAGTGAGAGAGAGAATCCCTATGCTGTCAGCACAGAGCCCGACACAGGGCTTGGTGTCATAAACCGTGAGATCATGACCTGAGCTGAAATCAAGAGTCGTATGCTTCACTGACTCAGCCACCCGGGTGCCCCTAAAATCTGTATTCTTATGTCAAGATATATACAGAGACCTATATGATGCATTAATTCTTTAATACTAATAGCATTAAAGGTGCACTTTTGAGCATGTGTGGAATAAATACAAAAGATGACGGCAACCTATCTTACTTTTAAATAAGATTATCAGTACCTATACCTTCAGTATTATGTGGAAAGACACCAAACTGCTAATATTATCATTTTTGCTGCAGTATTGCAATTACTATCAAAAGTAAGTGTGGCAAAGCCACTGTCCAGATTTAGGGATAGGAAACTACAGAGTCCTGTGGTCTCCAAGCTGGTGGTACAGTAGTTTGTCTGCAGATTGTTTTTGGTCTCTGACGAGATAAAGGCAAATGAGAGCATAGCTCCCTTTATCAAAGAAGTCTTAACGTATGGGGCGCTTGGGTGGCTCCATCGGTTAAGCATCCGACTTCGGCTCAGGTCGTGATCTCACAGCCCGTGAGTTTGGGCCCACGTCAGGCTCCGTGCTGACAGCTCGGAGCCTGGAGCCTGCTTTGAATTCTGTGTCTCCCTCTCTTTCTGCTCTTTTCTGACTCTCTCTCTCTCTCTCTCTCAAAAATAAATAAACATTAAAAAAATTTTTTTAATAATAAATGTTATGTATTTGGAAAAAAAAAAGGCTTGACGTAAACAGCGTCAGCTGAATCCGATAGCATGCTTAGCGGTGCAGGCTAACAACGAGACTGGGACTAGTACTGGTTCACAGACTACAGTTTTCGTAGCGCTGTAAGTTACAGTGCCTCTGTGAATACCTAGTTGAGTTTAAACAAAATATGTTTTTGCCGACAACTTACTGCCAAAATAAAGGGAACAATTAATTGTAGTTTGCATAATTTACAAATGACCTCACTTTAACTTTTTTATGTAACGTAACACGTACTTAGTGCAATGCTAAGACACATAATACACGTTTAATATGTTTGCTCAGGAGTAAATTGGAACACTGATATTTTATATTAGTATAAACTCTTAGTAAATGTTCAACATTTTTTATGCTATTCAATTATATTTGAGCTAGATGAGGAGAAGCTTTATTTCAAATAATTAAACTGGTAATTATAACAGTTGGTCACTGTCAGGGAAAACGGTATCTGTACTGATCATCTTAACTCCAGGATTAATTATTTAGGCTATAGCTGGTTATAAAAGAAGAGCACAGTGGACTACTTTGCAATCACATAAAGAGAACAGATCTCTGTGAGATGATCTCTAAGATAAGTGGAAAAAAAGGAAGGTGAAAATCAGTCTGTTTAGAATATATCTGAATTCATCTGCATGCATATAAATTATTTCTGAAAGAATATTTAAGAAATTGGTAATTTTGTGTCGGGAGCAGGACAGTAGATTTCGGGTCAGAGATAAGTCTTTAAATATATAGTTCAGTTTTATATTCTTTTAATTTTTATCATTTTTAAACTAAAACACACAGTAAAAAAGCAGAGACATCAAATTTGTTCTGTTTGGCTGTCTGATCAGGGAGTCTCATCATTCTCTGTATCTGGTGAAAATTATGGTGGTGGCCCAATTGTAAAAGTAGACATGTAGAAAACAATTATGAACCTATCAAAAGTAACGAAAATCTAGGCAAATGCCTACCTTCGCCATAGAATGAAAAGTTTAAGTTTACTTGAGGTCTGTGGGAGATTCAGCTTTTCACTTTGAAATATTCCATATGCTCACAGGTCTTACAGAAGAAGCAACAAAATAGTAAGAAATTGGCATCATTGTCAATCCAAAATGAGAAACGTGCTAATGAACTAGAGCAGAATGTAGATCACATGAAATATCAAAAGGTACAGCTGCAAAAGAGACTTCGAGAAGAAAATGAAAAAAGGAAGCAACTGGATGCAGAAATTCAGCGGGATCAACAAAAAATCAAAGTAATATTGTCATACTTTCCTGCAAGCATAAGTATGAAATGTTAAATGGCTCAGGGCTGATGAAGCCACTTGGCTTCTGAGGTATCTGACCTTGCCCTTTCCTTGGCTGCTGTCCTCATTCACTTAATGCTTGGTTCATTTACATAGTAAAACCTTTTTATTGAATTCTGAGTACTGTCTTGAAGGCTTTCACTTCATAGAAGAAGGTAGGTACAGTGATAACAGTTTCTCTGACTAGGACCTTTACTTGAGGCCGTCAAAAACATAAAGCTGACTTTCTAAAAAAATACCTGACATTTGATAGGATTTCCCATTTCCAAAGTGCTTTCACCTCCATGTGACATCATGGGAAAAAGCACAAGGTAAAATAGTACCATTTCATTCATAATGAACAGAAGAGTGATCAGACCTGTATGCCCAGCAGTTCTATAGAATGGATTGGGCTGTGGAGGAACTAATGGTGTCAGCCTGGGCTCTGGGGCCAGGCCAGCATGGGTTCAAATCCCAGCCTTCTCGGTTCCTGGCTGGATTATTTATTGAGAAAATCACTTACCCTCTCTGAGTCTGTTTATACTTATCAAAAATGGCCTCAATCATACTTACCTCACAGGACTTTTTTGAAAAAGAGGAGGAGGATCATGATCATAGCAACAGCAATAACAAATACTCATCTAGCATTAGGTACCGGGCTCTTTTCTATTGAAATGTTAAGCTGAACCCAAGACTTGGAACATAATTTAAGTCAAGTTACTGATTCTTTTTTTTTAACAGCTGTACTGAGATATACTTCACATACCATACAATTCTCCCATGTAAAATAAACAATTCAGTGGGTTTGGGTATATTACATTATTAATTTTTATAAGGTTTGGCAAAATAGACATGAAATTTATTATTTTAATCAAGTTAAGTGTACAGTTAGTTCCATGACACTGATTACATTCATAATGTTGTATAACTGAGACCACTAGCTGTTTTCAAAACTTTTCTCCTCTTTCCCCCAGTGCCCTGGTAACCTCTCATCTGCTTCTGTCTCTCTAAATTTGCCTGTTCTAGCTATTTCATAAAAATGGAATCATACAAGATTTAGCCTGTGTCTAGCTTATTTCACTTTTCATAATGTTTTCAAGGTTCATCCGTGTTGTAGCATGTATCAGAACTTCATTATTTTTTGTGGCCAAGTAGTTTTCTGTTTTGTGGACATACCACATTTTGTCCATCCGTTCATCTGTTGGTAGACACTTGAGTTGCTTCCACCTGTTGGCTACTGTGAATCATACTGTGGTAAAAATCGACCTGTAAGTTAACTGTTTAAGTTTGAGGAGTGGAATTGCTGGGTCATATGATAATTCCATGTTTCATTTTTTCAGGAACCACCATTTTCTTTCTTTTTTTTTTTTTTTTCCAACGTTTATTTATTTTTGGGACAGAGAGAGACAGAGCATGAACGGGGGAGGGGCAGAGAGAGAGGGAAACACAGAATCGGAAACAGGCTCCAGTCTCTGAGCCATCAGCCCAGAGCCCGACGCGGGGCTCGAACTCACGGACCGCGAGATCGTGACCTGGCTGAAGTCGGACGCTTAACCGACTGCGCCACCCAGGCGCCCCAGGAACCACCATTTTCAATAGTGACAACACCATTTTCCATTTCCACCAGCAATGTGTGAGGGTTTTAATTTCTCTGTATCTTTGCCAACATGTGTTATTTTCTGTTTCTTTTTTATTATAGTTATCCAAGTGTGAGTGAAGTGGTATCTCATTGTAGTTTTGATTTGCATTTCCCTAATGACTAATGATGTTGAGCATCTTTTCATGTTCTTATTGGCCATTTGTATAACTTGTGTGGAGAAATGTCTATTCAAGTTCTTTGTCTACTTTAAAAAAAAATTTTTTTTAATGTTTACTTATTTTTTGAGAATGACAGAGTGTGAGCAGGGGAGGGGCAGAGAGAGGGGGAAACACAGAATCCGAAGCAGGCCTCAGGCTCTGAGCTGTCAGCACAGAGCCCGATGCGGGCCCGACGCAGGGCTTGAACTCACAGACCGTGAGATCATGACCTGAGCTGAAGTCGGCCGCGCAGCCGACTGAGCCATTCAAACGCCCCATTCTTTGTCTACTTTTTATTTTATTTTTAATTTTTTTTTTAACGTTTATTTATTTTTGAGACAGAGAGAGACACAGCATGAATGGGGGAGGGGCAGAGAGGGAGGGAGACACAGAATCGGAAGCAGGCTCCAGGCTCTGAGCCATCAGCCCGGAGCCCGACATGGGGCTCGAACTCGTGGACCGCGAGATCGTGACCTGAGCTCAAGTCGGACGCTTAACTGACTGAGCCACCCAGGCGCCCCTTTGTCTACTTTTTAAATGGATTATCTTTTTATTTTTAACTTGTAGGAGTTTGTTTATGTACTCTGGACATTAAACTCTCTCACATACATGACTTTTATAAATTTTTCCCATTCTGTAGGTTGTCTTTAAACTTTTTTTTTTTTAAACAGCAGGTGAATTCCTGTCTGCAAGATTTGCAAGATAAAAAAAAAATTTTTGTTTATTTATTTTTGAGAGGGAGACAGAGCGTGAGTTGGGGAGGAGCAGAGAGAGAGAGGGAGACACAGAATCTGAAGCAGGCTCCAGGCTCTGAGCTCTAAGCACAGAGCCCGATGTGGGGCTCAAACTCATGAACTGTGAGATCATGAGCTGAAGTCAGACTGACTGAGCCACCCAGGTTCCCCTAGACTTTCTTGAAAATAGTTTTTGAGGGGTGCCTGGGTGGCTCAGTCAGTTGAGCGTCCGACTTCGGCTCAGGTCATGACCTCGCGGTCCGTGACTTGAGGGGACGTGAGCCCTGCGTCAGGCCCTGTGCTGACAGCTCGGAGCCTGGAGGCTGCTTCGGATTCTGTGTCTCCCTCTCTCTCTGCCCCTCCCCTGCTCATGCTCTGTCTCTCTCACTCTCAAAAATGAATAAATGTTAAAAAAAAAGAAAATAGTTTTTGATGCAGCAGAATTTTAAATTTTTTATGAAGTCCATTTTATGTTTTCTTTTGTTGCTTGTGCTTTTGGTATCCTTTAAAGATTCTATTGCCAAATCTAAAGTCACAAAGATTTACCCCCTTTGTTTTCTTCTAAGAGTTTTATGGTTTTAGTTTTTATACTTAAGTCATTGATTGATTTTGAGTTAATTTTTGTATATAGTGCGAGGTAGAGGTCCAACTTCATTCTTTTGCATGTGGAAATTGAGTTGTGCCACCATCATCTGTTGAAGAGACTATTTTTTCCCCATTGAATGGACTTGGTACCCTTGTCAAAGATCAATCGACTGTATTATGGAAATATTTCTTAGCTCAGTTCTATTCCATTTGTGTATATGTCTGTTCTTATGCTAGTACCATACTATTTTTACTACTGTAGCTTTGTAGTAAGTTTTGAAATTGGAAAGAAATCCTTCAGCTTTGTTGTCCTTTTTGAAGATTGTTTTGGTTATTTGAGGCCCCTTGCAATTCTATATGAATTAAAGGATCACCCTTTCCATTTCTGCAAAAAAGGCCATTGGAATTTTAATATGGATCAGGCTGAATCTGTAGAGTCCTTAGGGAATACTGACACCACAGGACAATATTAAGGCTTCCTATTCATGAGCATGGGGTGTCTTTTATTTAGGTCTTCTTTAATTTCTAATTTTTTAAAATGTTTTATTTACTTTTAAGACAGAGAGAGACAGAGCATGAGTGGGGATGGGGCAGAGAGAGAGTGAGACACAGAATCTGAAGCAGGATCCAGGCTCTGAGCTGTGAGCACAGAGCCCGACACGGGGCTTGAACTCAGGAACTGTGAGATCATGACCTGAGCTGAAGTTGGATTCTTAACCAACTGAGCCCCGCTTCTTTAATTCCTATCAGCAGTCCTTTCTGATTTTCGTTATACAAGTCTTTTACCTCCTTGCTTAAATTTATTTCCAGATATTTTATTCTTTTAGATATTTTTGTAAATGGAATTACTTTCTTAATTTCTTTGAAGTACTCAGTCTTAATAATGTAATTATTATAGCAGTAGTTAACATTTATCTTCAGTTAATACTATTCTAAGCAGTATGTGCTTTATCTCGTTTCTTTTTTTCTTCAATCTTTTCAACTTTTTCTTTTCTCCTGAATTCTTTCTTTTTTTTTTTAATTTTTTTTAACTTTTATTTATTTTTGAGACAGAGCATAAACGGGGGGAGGGTCAGAGAGAGAAGGAGACACAGAATCTGAAACAGGCTCCAGGCACTGAACCATCAGCACAGAGCCTGACACGGGGCTCGAACTCATGGATGGCGAGATCATGACCTGAGCTGAAGTCAGATGCTTAACCGACTGAGCCACCCAGTCGCCCCTCCTGGATTCTTTCTTTAAACATCTTTGGGGCGCCTGGGTGGCTCAGTTGGTTAAGTGTCCGACTTCATCTCAGGTCATGATCTCACGGTCCATGAGTTTGAGCCCCATGTCGGGCTCTGTGCTGAGAGCTCAGAGCCTGGAGCCTGCTTCAGATTCTGTGTCTCCCTCTCTCTGACCCTCCCCCATTCATTCTCTGTCTCTCTCTGTCTCAAAAATAAAAATAAACATTAAAAAAAAAACTAAACATCTTAGATTTTTCTTTTTTTATTTTTAATTTTATTATTTTAATGTACATCCAAATTAGTGAGCATATAGTGCAACAATGATTTCAGGAGTAGATTCCTTAATGCCCCTTATCCATTTAGCACGTTCCCCCTTCCACAATCCCTCCAGTAACCCTCTGTTTGTTCTCCATATTTAAGAGTCTCTTATGTTTTGTCCCCCTCCTGTTTTTACATTATTTTTGCTTCCCTTCCCTTGTGTTCATCTGTTCTGTGTCTTAAAGTCCTCATATGAGTGAAGTCATATGATATTTGTCTTTCTCTGACTGACTAATTTAGCTTAGCATAATACCCTCCAGCTCCATCCACGTAGTTGCAAACGGCAAGATTTCATTCTTTTTTATTGCAG